ACTTGTCTGCCTGTTAAAGACTGAGGCAAAGAAGGCATTGAGTACCTCAGCCTTTTTATTATTAGATTTTTATTTTAAATTAATTAAATTAATTAAATTAAATTCATTTAATTCATTTAATTTTAATTAATTAATTAAATTTAATTTTTTTATTATTATTATTATTATATTATATTATCAGACAGATAATCTGTCTGATTTTACATTTTCTACATTTGGGAACAGGTAACATCTGGTCTACTACAGTACCAATCCTACTTGGCTGAGGCATCCAGCCCTTAATTATCAGACAGATAATCTGTCTGATTTTACATTTTCTACATTTGGGAACAGGTAACATCTGGTCTACTACAGTACCAATCCTACTTGGCTGAGGCATCCAGCCCTTAACATAGTCTTTGTCAGTTGCTGGTCTGAATAGCTGCAGGGACCGTGGGTGAAGACTGTGTCTCTTACCTTAATACAAAGCTGTGCACAATGGGGCTTTTAGATATATTAATATAATTCAGATAATTAAAAACAGTAGTACAGGAGTGAGCAGATCTGTTGTAAAGATGCTCTTGTCTCCCTCCTGCATGGTAGCAGAGCACTCTCATAGGCTGTTTTTTCAGACAGAGGCAGCTAGGGGGCTGTTGCTGAGTACACTAAATTGTGTGTTCCTACGTTCATCCTGCTTTAGTGTTCCCTCCCCTCTTGAACATTTAAATGGTTTGTTGCATGCTTAACTTTAAGCACAAATTCAGTGCCACTGAAGCTGATAGCCCTCTTACAGTTTTTTGTCCGCTTCCATAAGATCAGGATCTCACTCAATGGGACTATATTTACGCTTTATTTTCTTCAGGCCCAGTAACCATTTTAAGATTTCATTTACACATTTTGCTACTTGAACCTATTCCTGCAAGTTGATGAACACCCAGCAAATGACTTTTTCTTTGGGCATTTGAAGAAAAAAAAAAAAGCAACCAAATATTGCCACATGCTCAAGGAAAGAAACTTTGAATGAGCAACTAAATGTAGTTGCCCTGGAAAGCTGAATTTTGTAGTTGCATTCAGCCAGCCAGGCAATGGAAATATTTCATTTCATCAAAGCATCAAATGTTACCTGCCCAAAGTTATGTTGCATTAGTTTAATATCAAATTGCCTATTAAGGTTATCAATGGCAGTCAGAGGAAACCAATTTGTCTACAAAGAACTTGCAAACTAAAAAAGAAGCAAATTCAAGTTATGTATGAGAATTCATTTGATTAAACACTTTAAATGAGAATGTGTAACATTTTAAGTGCCACTTTTTATAACTAAAAATTTAGGGAAAATACCATAAAATTATCATGTGAAAGCAAACAGAGGAGCTGGTAAAACCTGTTAACCCTTTTGCTGGAAAACTGAAAACATTTTTGAAGGTATTTTTAATATAAAAATAGGTACTACTTTTCTTTAGTAGGATGATGTCTTTCAGCAGTGGTTGCTTTGTACAAGTGTACAGCTATGCATACAATAAAACATCACCATCTCGACTCTAATCCTGTCTTGGAGCCAGTGGAGGTTTTTGGCAACTTCCTGCTCTGCTTGTCTATGTCTTATTGAAGGATCAGTTGTTTCCTGTTTTGGCACCCAGAAGACAATAGTTTGAATAGGTCACATGCACTATAAAGAGCCTGATGTACACACAGATTAGAGTAGGCAACTGCTTATAAATCATGCAGTTTATTAAGGAGACTGAATTCATAAGTAATTAAAAAAATCCACAAGTCCAAGTTAATCAGAGATACAGTGCTCATAGTTATAGGCCTTCTTCCACTGTGTAAATTAACATCAATGAGGATTAAAATGCAAAAATGAAAGAGAAGTAGTTAAAAAATAATACAAATAGAGATCTTGGACTAAATGAGTCATTTCTTCTTTTTCCCTAGCTCTCCAATGATTCTTCCAAGTAACGTAGATCTACTTTTATGCATGTGGATACTTGTTAAATCTTCAAACGAGTCTTTCTTCTTCAGAACTGGTGACCTCTGAGTATGAGAAAATACTCCTGAAAAGTGACATGAAAATGCATATAAGTAATCAATTTCCAAACAGCAAAAAGCAGCTGAATACTCAGTTTCCCACATCCATGTTTTCTCCATCTTTAGCCACTGCTGGTCCCCATTTTATCAGCATTGCCCCTAAACCTCTTGTTTTGGCAATAGCCACCTCCCTCCATTTGCAAGTCGCCTTTCAGTGATGAGTTACTTTGATCTTTTCCCCCAGCATGGACCTTTCCCTTCACTCTTCCTATAAAACTCTTCCACTTGTAATTAGCAGAGTCAAAGCACTCGAGTCTGCTCACAGTCTTACTGACTCACTGGCTTGTCATCAACCTCCTTGCACAGTGGATGAGATCTCTCACACAGTTTAGTAGCACATTTGTTATTTCTTTGAAGAACTATGGGGCGTTTTCTTTGCAATGATCTCCAAAAGCCAGCAAGACTGGCTTTATTTCTTTTAGACACATTTGTCTTCTGAAAAAGTAACTGGTTAACACAGTATCTGTTTATTTACCACACCTCAAATGCACAATAGAGCAGCCTTTACCCCACTACCTTCCCTGGCACCCTGCAGCCCAGCAGAGTTGGGACAGCAAGTTGTGTGTCCCTGGCAGCTGGGCCAGGTGCAAGGGCTGATCTGAGCCCAATTACCTGCACCTGGGAGGGAGGTGTGCACAGCTGTGGCCACTCTGAGTGGCGAGGTAGCAGGGGACTGCTGGGTGAGGAGAAAAGAGGCAGAGAGGTTTTTGTGTTTGTATTCTTCAAATGTTTATACTGGGGATGTGCTATGTGGCTTTTTGAGGAGGGTCTTCTTGTACAGCTGCTCTTCAGGAAGATCTGCTATGAGTACAGAAACTATGTTTTCTTTGTAGTTCTTAAGTTTTATTCTGGCTAGATACAACTATAATGTATCTAACACCAGTGTTGTAGTATACTGGAAATGTTTTTATGAAACCTGCTTTTTCATAGTGTTTGGCTCTTGTTAGGGGAAAGGGATGAGTTACTGAAGATACCTTGGCCAGTTAATTGTAAAGGACTCTCCCTGCTTGTCTCAGTTTAAAGCTGACTAACACTTCTCTGCAGGATATCTAGGGAAGTTGTAAAGCTGCTGGGTTAAGTAGGATGTTAGCTGGATGGAGGCAGTTCGTCAGATAACTCACATACAGCTGTTCTGATTTTGTTGTGTTTTTCATGGATTGTGTAGTTTGAAGAGTATCTTCAGACCTGTTAGTAACTACAACCAGGAGCCTGGCAGGACTAGATCAGTTCAGAAAACAGTGTTTGAACCCATAAGTCTGGACCTGGGCTACTTCTACAACTGTCTTGGTGTACACTCAAACAGACTTGTTTCCCAGGAGGGCAAAGTATGGGGAACTGTGGAAGTGCTTCTTAGGTGTGATGGAATAGTTCTGTTCAGTACTACTGAGAAGCTTTACCAAGGACTTCACTAGGTTTTTTGGCTTGGAGGACTTTTCTCGTTTTTCTTAGAAAAGTTCAGTTCCTGATGCTCAATTTTCACAATGACCTCATGGGATTTATCCTTCAGTTCTGAAATCTGACACTAGAATAACACCTTAACATTAGCATTTCTGTGCCAAGTTCAGATCTCTGTCTCGCTTTTCCAATTCAATGATATGTTTGAGGAACTACAGTGAATGCAGCTTACAGATTGCTCCTGAGTTATGATCTTGTTTGCAATTAAAAAAAAAATTTAAATTGTGAATATTTAAGATGAATAAGATGAAAAACTTCAGTATGGAGCAATAAATATGTTATCAACAGTTGCAAAAGTAATAGTATAAAGCAAAAAATCTTGCTTTATTGTTTGACTTCTAGAACAAGCCTACGGAAAGCTATTCATACTTGCCCATGTAGACATGAAGTACACAAGGTCATTCAAATGCCGTTAGTGCTGCTCTTTGGGCTAAGAAAACAGGCTTGTACATCTCTACACATAAGAAGCGGTAATTCTATTCCTCATCATTTGCTAGGATGCAATTTCTATCTGCAATTATTAACAATTGATTTCTGCTTTCACTGACAAAACAAGGCAGTAGGGTCAAGGGTTATAAAGATTAAAACAGCTGGCTTTGTTAAGAAACTGGGGGACTTGGATGAGAGGTTAGATAGCTCCACCAAAAAATAAAATTTAGGCTGTCACTGCTATAAGCTGCCTGCTACAGACTGATGTTAATCAACTGTACAGAGAAACCAGATTAACTGATTACAATTCACCAAAAAAAGAGGTAAAAGAATAGAGAAGGGGAGGAATCCTTGTTTGTTTTAAAATGTGAATACTCAGTAATGTCTTAAAACCTCTCTGTATAGGAGTAAACAAAAGTCAGTATTAATCACAAAACCCATAATTTGATTCTTCAAAATGCATCAGACTGTTACTCTTAATCTTGACTGGAACAAAAGCTCTTTGTCTAGGAAAATCACAGTGTGATATAGACATGAAGAACTAGATGCAAACAAAAGGCTAAGGGGGGATTTAGACAGGGACATTCAAAGCTGCAATCCTGAAAACAAAAATTGATCTGGTGCTTTAGCCTGATGGGCATCTCAGTTTTTGATAGTACTACTGCCTTGTGTGTCTAAAGCTGCATTCCATTTGCACCCAAAAGTGCATCAGTCTGGTCAGGACTGAGCAACTTGTTGCCTTTGTGATGTCTAAGGCCACTTGGGAACCGGAAGGGCGTTCTATGCTGCCTGCCATCAGCATATCTCAACACAGCAAAGATCATCTCAGAGCTATGAGATAGCTCAGATTCTTTGATCTTGGATCACTCTTGCTTTTAAATCCACTCCTTGCTTTTAAAATGCAGATAGTTGTCGTTTGGCTCAGAGTTTAGAAACTGGCCCTGTGTTATGTGAGGAGTTCTCCAATCTGAGGGGATTGGTTCCAACATAACTCCTAGCTTAATGGCTAGGATACTCCCTGTAGGTAACGGGGGTGAGGACCTCTCAATCCTTCCCATCTCAAATACTGCCTTTCAATTCAGAAAACATTTTAAGGTTTGTGGGCAAGAGCTGGACTGTCCGGTGGTACAGTGTCCCTGGGGGACACTCAGAATCCTGAGTTCAAGTCCCTTTTTTAGGGACACTCTAATGGGCAACTGCCTAGAGAGGTTCTTCATTATTCCATGGACATTCCCCCCAAACATCTTAATAACTAAGACACTGATCTAGGAAGTGGAGATAAGGGTCTGAATCCATTCAAGTGGAAAGGCAGTTCTGCCTTCTCCCTGTGGGCCCTATGCACTACACTGTTGGTGATGGCAGCAGCGCTTCTACCCCTCCATCAAATTATAGCACCTGCCCCTTTCTGAAAGTGGACATTCTCAAGGGAAGGATGCATCTGTTGGTAGTAGGATCAGAACTGAAGCCTTGGAAGGGACTGAGATTTAGGAAAAGCTATGCTGTATATTCCTGCTGGGAATAAGGAGGCTAAGTGACATGCTACCTTTTGCAGATCCTGCTGTGAGGTGCCAGCTTTCACCTTACTGCATATGGAGACACTTACTTTAAGCCTGGGGATTCCCCTCTGGTGCTGGGAACCTGGAGATTAGGAATTGCAGCACTTAGTGCCATAGGTAGCGTTCTTTCTCCTGAAGCTGTAGCTGTGTCTGAAAGCCTGCACGCATCTGAGTCCTAGGTCTGTTTCCATTGTGCATTGGGCAAAGTTACCAGTATGGAAGTAGCAAATACCTAGTGGTTGACTACGAGATGGCAAGTAAACATATCCTTACTCTACTGCTGAAAGACTGCCACTCTCGCCAGCAGCACCAGTGTGACGCACTCCTGGGGTGATGCATCTCTCGGAATGAGGAATTCGGAACTAGCCTGTCCATGGCACAGTAGTGGTAAAAATGCTGGCGTGGAAGAATATCTTTGTATGTTCAGTTGCTGAGCTGCCTTCTTTGTTTGAATCCTCCCATGTTTCACTTTCTGCTGCCCCTCCTCCCCCACCAAACTGAAACTTAAAAGCTGTCATTAGAGTTCAGGTTATTTGGAGGTCAAATTTGTACTGAGATCACTTTGAACATAAACATAGCTCTGTACTGGACTGAGGGGAGTTGGGGGCGGTTGTGTAGCACTGTCCTCTGTTTCTGTACTATTACCACGTAACACAATAAGCCTGTATCTCTTTTCTTTCCTACTAGACTCTAGTTATTGCCCATGAGACATGTATTAAAGGAGTAGTAACCTTGGTTTCTCCCTGTGAACTGAGAACGTAGATTAGCGATCTTCTGTTCAGCTTCTGCTAGCTGCCTTCTCCCTAGGCCGTGGGTTCTGGAGAGCACGCAGTCCACATAGATATCCCAGAAGAGCTGAGCCAGGTCCCAGAACAGAGCCCCATGTTTCAAGTTCTCTGATGATTTCAGAAAGATCATGAAGTCCCAAAAGCCACTGACAGAGTCAGAAATGCGAGGCTTCCTCATCTCCAGTAAGACAGCTGAGGAGGATTCCCAACACTGGGGGTCTGCTCGCCCAAGAACTAGTGGATCAATTTGGCTATGGCAGAGGAAAGGTGTCACGCAGAACGCTCCCATGATTAGCAGAGAGCAGGTGAGTCTCATGTTGCAGTGGATTCTTCCTCTGCTCCCAAGGTCCATTGTGTCACTGGAACGTAACAAAACCAAAAGAAGCTGAAAAACTTCTCACTGTTAGATGCAGGAACAAAGCCTTGGTACCTTACATGATATAGAAGGCACTTCAGATGTTGCTAATTGTTTCTCTGCTCTTTACAAATCTGTGTATGCTTTTTTGCATGTATGAATATAAATACTAGTGAAGTTGCATTACTCTGTGCAGCAGAAGCATGTGTTAAAATTTGTTAATCATCCTCAAATCCATCTGATGAACTCTCTTATCTGGAACTTCTTCATATTGGAAGTTTTTGGCCTTTCTTGATTTACAGTTCCCTAATCTTTTTCAATAAAAATCCATTCCTTTTTACAGAGAATTTAAGCCTTTAGGCAGTCTTGCTTTCCTCAAAATTTTATAAGCCCTTTAAAATAGTCTGCAGACTTGCATGGATCTGTGGACAGCAGGTGGAAAACTATTTGTTGAAAGTGTGTTCTAATGAATTAATGGTAGGTTGCAAAATCATCCATTGAACAGGGGTGTTTTACCTGCTAAAATGCAGAACAGTTCTGAAAAGAGGGTATAGCAAAGCCACAGCATAGCAGCTATATTGCACAGCATGTATACATGCATATAGAATCATAGAATGGTTGGGTTGGAAGGGACCTTCAAAGATCATCTAGTCCAACCCCCCTGCAATGAGCAGGGACATCTTCAGCTAGATCAGGTTGCTCAGAGCCCCGTCCAACCTGACCTGGAATGTTTCCAGCGATGGGGCATCCACCACCTCTCTGGGCAACCTGTGCCAGTGCCTCACCACCCTCAGCGTAAAAAATGTCTTCCTTATATCTAGTCTTAGTCTACCCCCCTTTAGTTTAAAGCCATTCCCCCTTGTCCTGTCACAACAGGCCCTGCTCAAAAGTTTGCCCCCATCTTTTTTATAAGCCCCCTTTAAGTATTGAAAGGCCGCAATAAGGTCTCCCCAAAGCCTTCTCTTCTCTAGGCTGGACAACCCCAACTCTCCCAGCCTTTCTTCATAGGAGAGGTGTTCCATCCCCCTGATCATTTTTGTGACCCTCCTCTGGACCCGCTCCAACAGGTCCGTGTCTTTCCTGTACTAAGAGAGATATATAAAAAAGTACAGACACTTATTGCAGATCACTGAAACAATTGTCTGTTACGTTACAATTGTGAAATTTGGTAAGTAGCAGCTATAGTAGGAGAAATCCTGAGAATGATAACCTTTTGGGGACAGAATGGCCCAGCTGTCTCCATCAGATTTCATTTCTAGTACGTGCTTCTATTGTGCATTTTCTAACATGTTTCTTGTGTTTCTAGTATTTCTAGTATTACATTTCTGAAACACATTTCTAATGTGTAACAGGTTTGGGGGTTGTTTTTAGTGTAGTTCATGGCGTATGGAGAACCTCCCATTTGTGGAAATCGGCAACATCTGAGAGCAGCTTTTAGGACAAACAATTCTGTTTGATGTGTGTGCTGATCTGTTGAGCGTTCATGCTTTTATGTTTTCAGTTTGATTGTTGGAGGGTGTTGCAGGGGGAGAAGCTACCTCTCTTAATGAGCTTAACTTAATAATCAACTGGCTTTTTGTGTAGAAAGCCTCTTCCATGAGTGATCATCAAGAGCACAAGCAATGTTTCTCTGCTATGTGAAGAAAAATGTCAAAGGCAGGATGTGTGCAGATGGATTGTGTGTGAAAGGTAGCCTAGCCACAGCCAGTGTGCAAGACCAGGGAAGGGTAGGCTGCTTTGTGGAACTTATTTCATTGTAGAGCTAAAGGACTCTTCAGAGATTTCAGTGCTGGCAGTGATATTCTTACCCAGCCCCCTATCTGGCTACCTGGTCAGGTTCTGGGAACATTTTGGAGGTATGCAGGCTTTACCCTACAACTGCTGACAGTCATTTTTTAATCTCAGTTGGGATCTCATGAGGAGAATCTGCTTGACAGCCTTGGATTTGAACCTTGCATTTAATGAATAGAAGAGGGACAGCACACTCTTCCCACACTGCTCTACCAAGTGGGTTGTCACTTATGACAGTGGTGGTAGTAATGGGGTTGTCCTCATGCTGTTACCAAGATCTCCAGAAGCATCATTCTTCTGTACCCTACTGCACAAGGCAGGTTTTGATTGCTTTCTCAGAAGCAAAACCAAAGACATCCGGTGAGTCACTACTCCATTCTTAACTTGTTTGTGCATCAGAGCCTTTCCACCGGGCAGCAGGCACCTGTGCATATATGCTGTGCAATATGCACATATCTATCTGTTTACCGAGACTTTTTCAAGGGACATAATTAACTTTGTTTATCAAGCTTCTAGCTTTCAGAACAACTTAGCAATCTCAGATATGACCATGGGGAGGAAACAAAAACCCCACCAACAACAGATAGTTCAAACAAAGGAGTAATACTAAAATTGGCTTTTAAGGATGGTTCTGTCATTTGGACAGGGGCCATCTGGTTTGCACTGGTTAACAACTAAACTAGTTGCTTTGCTTTCTCTGCCCCCCAGCCCCTTTAGAAACTTTCTGAGTTACAAAACTGGGTAAGACACGGACAAGGGTTCTGGATTTGTCAGAGGTGTGAGCAAAGGGACTGCCCTGGGCAGGCAGCTGGCAGGGCATTAATATGAGGGTGGGTGCCATTTCAGGTGTGGTGTGAATGACATTGGTCAGGGCCAGTATCCAAGACCATTAGTCCTTTTGGTCTGGTCAAACTCGGGCAGCATTTTGCTGTCAGTCTTCTACAAGGTTCAGGATTTTTTTTAGATGGCTGAGAGCTGAGGGGATGCTCAGGAAATGTCAGTTTTCACTGATGTCTTACCTGTGGCTGTGGTGAATGCTTCCACGTAATTCCCCCCCTTGCCCTCCAACCTTCAAGTCTTTCTGTCCATAAATTGAAGTTCGTGTGTGTGTGTGCTATTCACACCTTCTGGCTCTGACTTTTTCTTTTCTTTTCTCTCTTTTTCTTTTTTTCTTTTCTTTTCTCCCCCC